ACTTCTCACTTCAAACTACCATCACCCCACTGTAGGCCATTTTCGACCACTTTCACAGTACTCATCTTACCTTACTAATCCCTTTGTGCCTGTTCGTCTCTCTTTTACATCTGTGAATCACTCTTCTGTTTCCCCTCTCGACTTTTTGTCACTTTGATGTTCCTCCTCCTCTCTATGAAGCCCCAAAGTCAGCTCCAGGGCTAATGATAACTATCAAAACGTCTGCCATTTGATATAAATAAATATTTACGCCTCTATCCCTTGTACTAATTGTATATGCTATCTTGTGTGCGTTATGTCTATTCGCGCTACTTTATCCTGTGAAATCACATACAGAAAATCTAGGCCTTGATTGTCACCTGGATTAACATTTTGTTTCCAGTGTTCACTGTTTTTTTGGTGATGTGCGTATTTGGAATGGTCCTAACTCGAATTACGTTATGAGCGATTTTTCTGCCTCATCATTCCGTTCTATAATGTTATTGCTGGGCATTCGGTACCATTTTTCACGTCACTGATGCCAGTTCGTTTCTCACTCCTTTCAGTGTTGATTTAGAAGATCATTAAATAACTTTCGAGTGTCATTGGCAATTACCTATGATTGCTTATCGAGTTGATCCAGTTTCCTACACCCTTCGTTCTGCGAAAGACAGTCTATTTTCCTGCGTTCTAAAGCGCTTAAAATTTTACTTTTTACCCTGTTTTTGACATTGGTCGTTTCGGTTATCCGCCTATCCCTCTCGCAAATATTATATGGACAGTGGCTGATCGACTTTTTTTCTCATGTTCGTTATTTCTTTCCTTGGTCAACTCTTTTGCGATAGTTTGCTATGGCTGATCTAATCAAACATGTTCTATTATAACTTTTCCTTTTCATGCTTATTAGATATTCTGCATAGTCGTACTTAATATTTCTAAAATTGTTGATTCAATTGCTTTGGAAGTCCGCGTTTCTTGGTCACTTGAAGCATTAAACAATTTGCGCGCGCGTGATCAGATTGCATGTGTATGTGTACTTTACATGCACTCTATGAAGGTCACTGCTTCAAGGCTATTCCGCTAAAGCTAATATTTAGCTTTACCAAGTTCAATTTATAATTTTGTTATTCTTTAATCGCCTATCCTTGTGGTGCATTGTCTTCTGTGGTTGTGCAATTACTTTTTTAGTCAATGAATTCTCTTTAGTCCTTATGGGTAAATATAGGATACAAACACATTGTTACACCGATTGGATTAAACGCCTTTTTTATATTCCTTATTTAAATTCTAAATACTTTGTCATCCGCATGAATCCTAACGATTAACTATGTTCCATTTGCAGGAGGGACAATTTTATCCAGTTCGAGTGATAGAGCTTCGTCACAATCGTCATCCCTATCATGTTCTCTTCAAGGACCAAGTTGGTTCCCTTCTGGCAGTTGGTGAATCCATTTCTGACGAGTCGGAAAATTTCCCAGCTCCTCGAAGGGGTATGGTAATGGTTAATACACCCCCAACTACCTCATCAGCATCTCGTCAGCCTTCTATTTCTGTGTGTTGGTCTTTCTCCATCTCTAATCTGGTGTGGATTGAGCCAGGAGCTAGTAGAGCCTGTCTACAGCCCAACTCAATTGTTGGCATTCATACAGGCAATGTAATGCAATATGCAAGGGTACTTAACTCCACTTTGACCTCTGAACAACTCGCTAGTACTGCTAATTACTTCAAAGGAAACTCGGATTCTGTGGTACGTTTTGAAGCACCCTGTTCTGAATTAGCTCTCTCTGAAGATATTTCTGTCATTTACTTTGGTAGGACAGCAGGCTTTATGACTCAAAGTTAAAGGAAATTGTAAGTAAGCATATGCGTGGAGCCATTTTAAATATTTGCGATTCGTGGTTTCCTTTCCCATGCATGACATTTGAAGGACAGCACATGCAGGCTCAGAGAGAACGCGTCTTGACCTAGGATAGGCCTTAGCATATTGTACCAAGTTACAACTGTGGGTGAGGCGGCTTAGCCATGACCTACATCCAATTATATGGAAATCACAGTCACCCTGGATCTCCAAGTGTGCTGCCTCCGAAAGGCTTGATTAAAATTTGTTGGTCAACTTTCTATCTTTGTTTTTATTACTCTGCATTAATTAATTGTCTTTAAAAGGACGTGACATGATTTCATTTTGGTTTCCTTTTTTTCACTTTTAGATATTACAGTTAGGTTCATCGCACAGATTAGTTGTTGCCTTCCTCCGTCAGCCCGAATTTCTAGAATTGGGTCGTCAAGTAATCATCTCTCGTAACAACGTTGTAAATATTGTCGGTACCGTAGCCGGCTTCGAACATGCAATCACCTTCTTCTCAGATATAGTTCTTTCACAATCTTCCTCATTAGACAATTCTTATACCACTACCTCTTATCCTATTAATGGTACTGCAACACCATGGAACGATGTTTCTGACTCCTTTGAAGAGGATACCTCGTACGAAACTCTACTCTCGCAAGTGGGTATCGATCCGAAAGGTCCTGGAACGCATTTTATTGATGAACCTCCGCCATCCTCCGAATTAATTGCCCAATGTGATGCCTCCACCCTGCATCAGGCTAGAAAACGTCGCCAACGCACTGCTAAAAAACATAGGAAAGCTGAGGCTCGTTTAGCACATATGAACTCAATGGCAACTCCCCAGTCCTCTATTTCCACTTTAAATAGCTGTGACAACAACTCTGTCCGTGTGATACAAATGAATCAACGGTTATCCGTTGACGAAAAGGTTGAAATGGAAGGTGATCACATGAGGACTAATGTAGGAGGGGGGCGTAAACGTCGAAGGAGGAAACGAAAAGCGAAGCGTTGAATACTTATTTTTTTCCAATCATCTGCAAATAGGAGAAAACTAGAAGAATTTTTGATGAGAAACCGTGAAATGCGTAAGGTTTTGGCCTTGACACTTATTTTTCTTATCTTTTCTCTGTCCATTTAAGAGGACTTTATGGACGATGAGCTTTATTTTAACCTTCGTTTATCTCTTGTTTTGGAATAAATAATTTTATTTCCTTTGGAAGTCAGTCTTATTAATTTTTCGCCACACAATTAACTCACATTTTTGATGTCTTCTTTATATCAGGTGACGTTCTTTAAAAAATGCTTATGTCGAAGTAATTGATTATTACAAAGGGTTAATGAGGATCAGGAAACCCTTCCTTTATAATTGCTATTGAATAAGGCTTAGGCTGGGTTTGGGCTGTGTTTTGAAATTGGTATACCCACAAATGTGCTCATTGTGTGAGTACAGTTCGTATTTTATAGCCAGAAGTATGGACTAAAATGGCTGAATTGTTTTGACCGGTGGAAAATCTATGCCACTCTGGACAGATAGGTGTTGGGTGGAATTTCATTCATGCATGCTGTTGAATAGGGAAAATCAATTCAATTGCTTGTCATTAATGTGTGCAGACAATTGATATGGGATATAAGCCGTTGTTGTTTATCTTACTTATGTCATCGCTGGCTCAAATAATATGGAGGGGGGGGGGCATTATCTATTTCGTAATTTATTAATCGTGAGTGCCTGCTGGTTGAATTGGTGACAGAGAGTTCGGAAACCTGGAAACTTCTTTGTTTTACAATGAGCCCCAAGTTCTACGAGTGTCTATGAAGAACGGGTTTTTTCTTTGTTCATTCATGTAATGTGGAAATGTGCGTAATCGCGTCATTCACGTGAGTAGGAAACGCTTCGTGCCCATCAGATTAGTGCCGCTTAATATTCACAAACGAGCCTTGGGGTGTGCGATAGACTTACCTTCATGTGGTGCACCCTGGGCAACGTATACTCATATGGCAGAGTCTATTAATCGGTAGTTGACTTCTGACTTTAAACTGCCAAGACCTCACTGCACTTCATTTTCGACTAATTTCATAGTACTCACCTCACCTTTTTTCTATTTTTGTGTCTGTTTGTTCCTTTTACGTCTGTGAATCATTATTCTGTCTCCCTCTCGACTTTTTGCCTCTTTGATGTTCCTCTCCCTTTCTGTGAAGCCCGAAGTCAACTAAAGGGCTAATGATACCTATCATAAAGCCTGCCATTAGAAATAAATAAATATTTTCTAAGAGTTTATTTTAAATTCGACTCGACGGTACCGAAACTGGATGCATGCTCGCTGTATCAATACGTTATTGTTTCTTCAAAGTTCAATTGATTGCCTGTTGTTAGCCTACCAGATATGCCTGTTTTAAACAATAAAAGCATTATTTTTTGTTTTCTTCCCCATTAGTTCCATCTATTTTGT